TGTTTTGGCTTCTGTTTATGTTATTTTTGTCCAGACATAAGTATTCTCTTCAGCTGATTACAGGCTATTGAAGCTTATGAAGATTAACATGACTCAGAACTGAAAATTCACTATTCATTATAGAGCAATAGGAAAGGTCTAGGTGTAAGCTGAAATAAAACTGTTGAATGGTAAGAGGCTATGTATGAAAATCTGGCTATAAACTCAGTGATTAGAAGCATAATCAGTAGTAAATTAGCAACAAGAATATCATAATTACAGCACAAGATAGCTGCAAGATGAAAATGAAATCAATTGAAAACCTGAGTAGCAATCATCAAACCACTTATTCATGATTCTGAGTGAATTTCTAATGTTCACATTCTGTTCCGTATCAAGTAAATTGTGGGTGACTGACCTGTTGGCACCATACGGTATTCTGAGATATCAGTTTCTGGAAATATGCTCAAGAAAGCAAAAGGTGAACCTTTTTATTTTCTTTCAATGTACTCAATTTGATCAGTAGAAGTGGACTGATTCTGTCAACTCCAGCCTTGGACATAAAATCTTTCCTACTACCCTCTAGTGTATCATATATTTTAAATTCTGGGGTATATTAGTCTTTATTCGTTTCATAAAATAACCATTGTTAGTATACCGTAATCAGCTGAAGAATATTTATCTAAATACAATGTAAACTTCAATATTTATTCTTATGCCGCTGTTGAAATTCGTAAATCTAACCAAATATTTATAGTACCAGTAAATAAACGAAAAGAATTTCGGTAAATATTGGTAGTTATAAATAATTAAATAATTATAAATAACGGTGAACAGAAGTATTTTTATTCAGTGCACTAACTTATTACCATGGTATACACAAAAACAAGGGGAAGTTAAGAGCTTTCAAGGTGGTTCCTTGAAAATATATCTTGCTGCGTTGATTGGAAAATTGGAATCTTTTGTAGTTAACTTATGAAATCCCACAAAAACTTGCATAAGTATAGTTGAAAAAGCATTCAGGTGATAGACAAAGTTAAGATTTTTCATAACACCAGGATGATAGGATTCTGATTAGGAACCAAAAACAATTGCTGTTAAAGTTGATACCAGATCCATGTGTTCAGCTGAATGCGATGGTTGTTTTCTCAATCTTGTCGGGAGTTCTGGATTAGCTTTTTCGAGAAACCCTATACTGGTAAGAAGCTCACGATTAAAACTTTCATCGAATCAATTTCATCTCATTGCTCTCCGATCAAATCCATACAATTTTTATAAATTTCCAGGTCGTCGTGATTTTATAACTATCTGGCAGTGTGGAACAATATGCGCCCATACACTACTTCGTCCATATCGATACTGATTGTATCGATGATTTCAATGTACTGTCACAGAATTTATCTGGAAGTGACTTCTTTACAACATAATTTGAAAGACGCATACTCAGATTATTGGGCCAAAACTCCTGTTATAAAATTTACCAGTATCCAGATAAAATAGATAGAGAATTGCACCTTCCCCTTTTTACATACTGTTTTAACACCACTGGAGAAGAAAAAAAATACCTTGGCATAATTTACAGATAATTCAGAAAAACAAATAGATTATAACAGTGTTATTCATTTTATGGTTCAGTATATTCTTCTTCTTTACCCATCTCCCTTAAATTGATTGAAATTTCTTTGTTTTCGTGACAGTCAACCTTTTTCCAACAAACAAAGCACTTAACACACTTAGAATATTTCAAGATATTTGCATCTAAAATATTCGGGTGTTCACGAGAGCAACGATCAGACATTTGAAGCAAATTGGAAACCAATTAGATATCTGTCTAGCCTTCAAAGTAATAAGTAAACAAAAATTAGAAGTCTGCTTTACTTTCCTGAAGTTCTCACACAAATTTTAAACTTGACCTGTACATATGCAAAAAGAAGCTGCGATCCATCTTTCTTTTACCCTGGCAGTTCGATGTTACCGTGGTTACTTCTTGTTCTGCTCTCTATCTAATGAGTTTTTTCCTGTTCGCTTTAGTATTTTATGGTTGTTTGTATCTTCATGTAATCTTTTAGTCGTTTAGTAACTCCTTTCCGTTGAACTGTATTTTACCCCATACTTTTGCCTTCAAATCTGGAATAATCGAATTAATCACATGAAAAATTTAATGCATCTTGACTTAGATATGTAACTGCTGTCCCTTCCTACCTGTTAATGTTGCCCTCTTACTCCAAGATTTAAAACTTCTTTCCTTCCTTAGAATATACTAAAATAATGCGACTTACTTTTAAATTCTAATAATCTGGTCTTCATTTAAGGTCACATTCAGCTGAAGAATTGCCTTGAAGTAGCATACCGTCATTTATCCTTCATATCACTGCACTCTTACTTTAAGAAGATATGTCTTTTTTGTTCATGAGTATCCTTGTTGACTTTTTCTTGTCAAGTAACCCGCTGTCTTAATGAGATGACATTTCTATTGTCAAGGTACTAATTCAATTCTTGTATGATACCTGATTCTGTACTACAACCAAATGTGTTGGAGCTTCTTAACCTTTAGGTGTTTTATTCGTGTATAAGTTGCTATGGCTTCATTAATTAAAATACTGCTGAACAATGAGTGTATAGGAACACATCATAGTTGTCAATACACTCATATTTTGTTATTCACTAAAATGTTTCTTTTTCCGCTACCGCCCCCCCCCCACTTCATCTTGTGTACAGTGATAATTAATAAGTCGGTAGGTACTTCTTGTTTCAGCATTTGCACATCTCCTTTGTGCTAGTTGCATGCAGATTTAAGTAATTTTGAATACAAGTGATTTATAATTTCATTTAACTCACATCTGGGGGTGATAAAATCACAACTCAATAATATATGAATATTGACAATAAGGCGTTTGATCAGTACTGATGAAAATTTATACTGAAAGTGATTTTCCTGACTTATTTTCTATTGAAATTATCATCCTAATGTCTTCGCCAAAAAAGCGTATTCGTTCACTTAACTCTTCTGAAAAGATAGTAAATACCATGGTCTCTCATCGAACCCAATATTTTCATGTTTTCCATTCCGTGCACTGGATAACTAAATCGAAAAACTTTGATTATCTGGTAAGATTTCATTCAGAAAGGTCACGATGTATGGTTGTTTAATTATTTCCTGTTGTTTAAAAACGACGACAATGCCAAAATCGTCCCACTGGGTGATGAATTTCATGTACTATCTCAAATTCCTATAAAGATTTTTCCACTATAACACAATCAAAATGTACTTAGTGTTGGATGTTGGAAGTAATTTGACAAAAAGTTCTAAATTTCCCTTAGGTCTCCCGCTGTTTAGCAATCATCAGCAGGGCGAATCTACAACCATGAGAAAACTGGTATTCTCTTGGTGATTCAAACCTATATCACTCAGTAATGGAATCCAAAATGTTATGTGCAAATTACTTGGGCCAAAAATGTACCATAGTATTACTTACCTTAGCTCAGTGGACACATTGCAGATTTGATTGATTGACTTTGACCAGTGCAGATGTTAAGAACTGGACGACTGCATTAGGCATTTACTGATAACCACTTCATATAAAACTAACCTGGTTAAAATTCGGTTATATAGTTTTTACCAGGTGAAACACTAATTAGATACTAGTTTCTTCTAACAGCAGTATATAAAATCTTAATATATATTCTAGGGTTTCTGTCGAAGTTATGCTTCAAGCTTCTTCGACGTAATGACCTATTGTCTAAGGGATTTAATGAAGTTCATTTCTTCCGTAAAGTACAACAAAATACTTGAGAAAAAATCTTTAATTTCTGTATTTTCCATGACATGCTTAGACCTAATTTTTTAAAGTGTTTGAATTTTTGTAATAGATAGTGTTCACTATTCTAGGGCTTGTAACTGTTAAGCAGTAGGAAAAATGCTTTATGTCCCATTCATTGAGAAATTCATGTCTCCAAAATGATAAATTCACCTTAATTTTGAATCTAAAGGTTATTCATTCCGTTGGAATAATTCAGTTGGACCACTCGTCGAATATCAGGTAAAAACATTCCTTTTTTACTTTCTCAGAAATAAATTGATGAGAGATTAGACTGAAATAGTAAAATTTCTATTGATTAGAGCACCACTGATGAATGCATTTACATCACTTCCAGGTATTTTCAACCTTATTACTTGCATTTTCATAACCTATGGTTGTCATCAGTTGAATAAATTCAACTAGCTAGCCTTAAATGACACAAGTAGATCTTACTTTGACTACTATCAAGCATTGCCGAACAACTGAAACACTTTTTTCAACTAAGTTTACATAATTCCGAAACCCAACTATGTAGTTTACTCAACTTCGATAAAAGGTTCACGCATTTAATAGCAACAGTTGAAAAACACATCTAACTGAGAGTGAACACTTGTAACAGCTGTACTCGAATTTATTCGAGTAAAGAGTATGAAGGAACCTTACACTTCTTCATTGAACGAAATAGATATTTCTTCCTAAATCTAAAAACTTTATAACTAGGCTATTTTGGTTTTTTAGGCCTTTCAAGGTTCCCTAGATCGCTTAAACGTTACCAACCATGAGGATGGCTTTTAATTAGACGCATAGGCATGAAAACGGTGAACGCAACAAGCCATGTTCTACCACTAACGGAGAAAGCTCCAAAGCCCTGGGTATCTATCGTTACCTCCTTAGCTGTGATGGCATCAAGTATCCGGCCTAATTTATCCCAATATATCTCTTCCTAACTGTAAAGGTTTTATAATTAGTAGTCAACGCATATTACATGTTCCAAGTCTTCATCAACTTACAAGTCACTATAATTTAATATGCCACCTGCATGGACGGAATAATTATTGTCTTCAACCTTTCCTTTGTTGTAAACAATATATGCCTGAGTTGATTTCCTAGAACTACCTAACTACAAGTATCCTAACTATACTGTGTTGATGTCTCAATTTTCTAAATTTCAGGTCTTAACTTTATCTTATATTTGTTTTCCCGTTTTTCAACCACTTACAGCATTTTATCAATGGGTTCCCTTTTGTTTATCAATTCAAGCAATGCTGTTTTTTCTACCTCATATTGTCTGGCAGACATTAGCTACACATGTGATGGGCGAAAACTTAGAGGCCATCTTAGAAATGGCACATAAAGCTAATACAGCTGATGATAATACAAAACGTCAAAAATTCGTTGAATCAGCTGCTTATCATTTATTCCGATTAGGACGTCAACATTTCGATCATCGTTCAAGTAAATGGGCAAGAATTCAACGTAGAATGTCACATTTATCTGGTGGTTCACTACTCATTGCTGGAAAACGCATGGGAAATTGTATATCAGTAGCATACCTGTTTGTAAAATTGCTGTATTTAACTAATCTAGTTGGACAATTGTACATAATACGTACATTCTTAGGCTTCAATGGAAGTTTATTCAGATTTGGTGAACGACTAATTGGTACTCTGACATCAAAACATGAATGGACTGAAAGTGAATTCTTTCCACGTCAAACATACTGTCCAGTTCATGTTCGTCAACTTGGTACAAAGAATAATGTATTCACTGCTATATGTGCCTTACCCGTTAATATGTTCAATGAGAAGATTTACATATTTTTGTGGTTATGGATTGCTGTTGTTACTGTTGTAACAACAGGTAGTTTATTCGTGTGGCTAATACGTTTATCAATACAGAATCGTCAAAATTCCTATATTCGTAATTATCTAATTATATCTATTCATTCACAATTATTAGATGCATTTCAGAATCATAGTTTATCTTGTGATGGTTGTAATGTTGATGCTGATGATCCTCGTATTGATAATTTCATCCTGGAGTTTGTTAGAAATGATGGATTCTTTTTATTACGTATGATACGTGATAATGCTGGTGATGTGGTGACTGCAGAAATTTTAAATCAGTGGTGGCATATGTTTGTTGTTTATCACAAAGCTAGATTAGAAAGAGAAAATGCACTTGAGCATTTCAGACAAAAAGATGAAATGAAGGAAAAACGCTACGGTTTTATTGATCCACCAGACAATAATTCAGCGGTAACTGTGAATGCACCAATAATGAGTGATGCTAAGCAATCAAGTGGTAATTTTGTTTAAACTCATGTATCAACTTAGTTGGTTGTATTTTGTATAAATTGGAATTGTTTTCTGAACAAATTTTCTTTATGATCTCTTAATCAGGACATTTAATTTTGAATATACTTTATACAACACCATATTTTTGAACCAATGAAAAATATCATTCAAAAATGCATCATAACTATCTAACTTTTATACATGGGGAAATCTTACATACTGGCTAAAACAAACATTGAACTTAGGAATCAAAGATGACCTTTTTTAATCTCACTGAATACTATTTCATACTCAGTTATTCTTACACGATTGCTCTGCAATAAAATCTTTCGTCTAAAAACCCATCTTTTATGTATCTAACATCATTTTTTCGAAGAATATCAGTTCTGACATTTTCTAGAATAAGGAGTATAAAAATTTACTCTGCGAAACGGACATATACTTCACTCACGCTTTTTCTTAAGCTTGAACAGTGCAAACATGAAAGATGTAGTAGGATAATATGAGCTCAGTTTTTATTTCGAGGATTCCCCTCGACTGCTTATAACCTAATTAATATTTAAATTTACACTTTAAACATACTTTAAACAAGTTAACAGGAAGTTATTGATACGATCAGCTGATAACATAGATAATGTAGATGATCAAAATATAAGAGAGCACCAGGAATATGAGAGTAGGATTGATGATTGATTCATAGGATAACTAAATGAACATTCCTGATGCAGAAGATTAAGAGGTGAATGGAAAATAATTTTCACAGACTGGATAGTTTCAAAATACTTTGAAATTGCAAGAGCTTGAAGAGCAAGGTGAGCAACGTTCGGATCAAACACTAAGCTTTGAAACGGAATAAAATATTCAACTGTTTTACTAGTTATCGGGCCAGTTTATGAAATGGAAAACGGACGATATTGATCTCACGCAAAAATCTGGTTTGTATACCTTCGGCAGGCTATATAAATAAAGATAGTCCCAGTTAACAATATATAGTTTTCGACTAATTTTTTTCATATTTTTTTTTTATTTCTTCATAATTCGCCTTTCCGTTGGCTCGCTTTAAAGTAATCCATGCTATATAAACTGTCCATAGGTTTAAAAGACACCCTTTAATTCCTTAATGCCAACAGAGACCGATGAATTCTGTCCACTCAATGACTGGATATTATAATTGCTAACAAAAACTTCACCCTTCATACATGAAGTGACTGTCTTGACTCGGTGGCCTGGTGGATAACGCTCTGTTGTTTAAAGCGATCGTTCTGGAATTCGAGTCTTAGTGGGAAAAACCATTGATCACTGCGAGGCAGTTACATCTAGCTAAAAAGACCCAAATTGGACGGAACGCATATCCTGAATCACACTGCTAGTCACTATCCATCATTAATAAAAGTTTACAGATTTTTGAAGTTGGAGTGACTCGTGTTGATATTTATATTATCTGGCTGACAAAATCATAATGATAAAAAGCATGGTTTCAAAATACTAATGCTATTCACCACACTATTTTATCAGTGGAGAATTGTTTCCTCCTATAGTAAAAGCTGTCTGTACTGTACTAGTGACCAGTTCCTTGGTGACTTTTTACAAACCGTATTCATTATTTCCCCCGACGTCATACGCCGTTCAATAAATAGACTGTCTGTGAATCGTGTACTTCTACAGTCACTTACAGAAACCTTTATTCACATGGCGAATTATCACGGAATGATAATTCAAATAGCACGAACCAAGAATTCGGTACAATGACGCAAGTGAAAAACGTTTCAGCCCAGTAACTATCTGGTTGGGTTTCGCAGAAGTATCACGATTTGCGTTTTTAATCTACGAACTTGGAAGTTTACGCTGTTAGGAAGTCCTATAAAGAAGTGGCCCTTCAGGGTACTACTAAACACCATTAGTTTAACTGTTTCAATTAACTTTATTCCTATCTGTAGTTACTAAAGTAGGGGTCAACTAGGCAAGGATTAGGCCAATTACTTCCTAGATCTTGGTATGTGCAAGACTTGTATCTAGTACGCGAGATAGTTCATCGAGAATGTAGTTTCTGAAGAAATGAATTAAGGTTCCGGTACAAGGGGTGTAATTTTTAATTTAATGGGGAAAATCAATCTAATTTGTGATAGCTTAAGGGAAATGATGATTTTGTAGTACATTATTCACTTAAGAAGTGTTGTCATGCCTCATCAGAGTTGACATCATGATAAATAGACTTCATTCATGATATATTTGTAGTCTGTTACACCAGCTGAGAGCTCAGAAAATATCGAGTGTCGAATGTATTTTACATTCACTTACAAATAAATATTTGAAGTTGTCTGAAGTCACTAGCTGACTGTGATCATTTTAAAAGCATACCGTGAGTGGAAGAAAGTTGCAGAGTGAATGTTCAGCATCAAAATTTTACATTAATAAATTGATGTGATAAAATCAGCATATAATGAGAAGGAATATTCTACTGGCTTATAATGAATACTTCTTTCATAAGTTGAAGAAATCGCTACAGAATTAAGAAGTTATTTAAACAAAATTTTCTCTACTCTAGTAATAAAAACTGATTTTTGCAAGGTACCATTATATTTTAAGCATCGCATTTGAAAGCTGTGGTGGAACCTAATTGCTCATTAGATGAATTTATTAAAACAACACAAACGGATATACTGGATTATGTTTCCAGCACAATTAAGCCTTCATAATCAGATCAAGATTATCACAAAACTTCCAAAACTTTTTTGATAATGTTCATACTTAAAGAAAGAATACAAAATATTGTTTTGATTAACTTAAATCTGGGACCCGTGAATATTCAGTATTCATCTATACTATGCGAATAATAATATCTTATACTACCAATGTATACATAGTTCTTACATTTCCGGAGGTTGAACTGTTTAAAAAACAATATACTTATATATATTCAGGTAACGTTAAATTTCCATCAATAAACTAACGAGTAAAATACCGAGTACGGATTCGGTTGCTGCAATCTGGGTTCCAACCTAAAATAAAGGAACATGAGCAATTTTCTCTGTGAACGAAGAGTTCCAAACTGATAATAGAATCCTGAAATAAAATAAGCTGATCGGTCACTAGGGAGCAATTACTATTGTACAAGCTAATCAGAAATATGACCTTAATTGAATCTTTGACTTTTTCAATGATGACAATTCAGTAGTAAAGGTTCCTCTGGTTGCTCTGGATATGTCTTCACATTTACGAGGAAGTGTCAGTTCCTTTGGTATTGTGAGCACGTCTTTTTCATAAATGCAAACAAATAACTGAGTACAGGGTTTCTTGATATCTAGTTCGGACAATGACAGAAGACTTACCAATGTTCATCGCTATGCACATTCAGTACTCTTTAGTGACAAATTCAGTCAAACCACTGATAACAATCCAAAGTTTACTAACATCAGGAGTATGCTGATGTTCAACTTGAGGAATGATTCATCTCCTCCTCCCATTTTTAGTTATTAAATATTTTCTGTTTGACTGTTAAACTTCGTTACTTTGTATATATTCTAGATTCGATTTATTAGAAAGAAAACATTTAAAGTTGGAGACCATAAATCTCACAGCTCAATATCACTGATTAACAATCAGGCATAGTTCCATAATAAATCGTTTATTATAAGCAAAACTGAAAATTATTATGTAGCAATGACGTTTAAAGGAGAATTTACTTCTCATTATCATATCAAAGTATCAATGTACCAAACCAAGTCCTACTTCAAACGTTGCGAGAATGAATAAGTTATATGGTGTGAGAATAAAAGAGTAGATTTAATTTGAAATAAAATAGTGTAAAACCACCAACTAATGAGTGTAGTTCAATTTCACTTTTCATTTCATGGTTGGGCTTCGACACAAGATCATCAGAATTGAAGGAAAAACAGTTTCAAGTGTCTTAATTAAAGCAAAGCAAAGATTCTTTTAAAAGAGTGAAAAATTGACTATGTCAGTTTACAAATCACATCAGACTATAAATATCACCTTCAAAAAGGTCCTGTCAAAAGTTTAAACTATATCACCAGATGACACAGTTCAAAACTTTCTGCCTTCAACAATAAAACATCCAAATTTGTGGACAATAATTTGAAATGAGAATGAGAAGCACTGTGGCGTGCGTGTATATGTATGGACAGAGTGACTATTGAGGTCTGATTTTTCATCGCTATAACTGGATGAGCATTTATGAAAAGTCTAACCAGTTGACTGTTGTTGCATGTGAGTACATGGCTATGTGTGAATAAGCTGCTGAATAAATTTAACTTGTCATAGGTTAAATATGATGTTTTTCTCAATGATAACTGATAACGTTGCTTCAAATATGCGTGAATTCAAGTTCACTTCTAACTTTCTATACTGTAGAGTTTGTAATAAAATGCAGCATGTAGTTAATGGAAAGCAGTTTCGATGCTCTCAGTGTTCAACAAAAAACCGGCGGTATCATCATTTCACTTACTTTTTCAGGGTAGAATGTTTGACTGTCTAGAGTAGATCCTACATTCTCAAGCAAGTAATAAACCATTTTCTAAGAAACCCAACAGCTACATTTTGAAGCTTCGTAGACCTATAATACTATAAAAATGGCTTATCTCGCTATGTCAAAGACACTTCTACGACACACTTGCACGTGAAGCAGAACAGGCGGCTGGTAGGAGAGATGAAGACCTGGCAACATTATTCAAATAACCAGGTTAGTATCTGGGAGGGAAGAGACCAACTCAGATGAAGCCAATGAAAGAGAGTGAAGGAAACCTAATTACCACCAAAGAGGAGAAACAAAGGAAACAATAGGCTGACCACTTCGAAAAACTCTTGAACCGACCACCACCACCGTCACCACCACCACCATCTGCACTTCGTCCAGAAACACCACCTGCAGTCCAGCCACAGAATAACCAGTGAACACAGGCCCTCCGACAAAAGCAGAAGTTCTGAACGCCATAAAGATGCTGAAATCTGGGAAAGCAGCAGGACCGGATAGAATTCCACCAGAAGCACTGAAAACAGACACAGAGACAACAGCAGACATGCTCTCACCACTATTGTAGAAGGCTTGGAAGGGAGGAAGGAAGGAAAGGTACCTGCAGACTGATTGAAAGAAGGGCTACTTTGTCAAACTCACAAAGAAGAACGACCTAAGTTTTTGCAATAACTGGCGCGCAATCATGCTCCTGTCCCAGTCCACCCCAAGCAAAATATTATGCCGCATCATCCTGGACAGACTATAAAATGCTCTGGATTCAAAATACGACCGGAACAGGCTGGTTGGCTGGATGGCTGGATTCGGGAAGAACAAATCATGTGCAGATGAAATTGTAACGCCATAC